TAGTATATACGTATACTAATAATATAATATAACTAATAATAATAATAATAATAATATATATATATATATATATATATTATTATTATTATTATTATTATTATTATTATTATTATTATTATTATTATTATTAAAATTCAGTTTGAGAAAGTCCTGAAGCTGAGGGGCAAATTTGAAAAAAAAAAATGTGGGCTGACCGATTCTTTGTAATTTCCAACTATAAATGGAGTATTTCGTTTTTTAAAAAGATTTTGAGGCCCATACATAAATTACTCAAGAATATTTGTCTAGATTCTACCATTTCATTATTTTAACGATGGGGTTAGCATGTGGCCAAGCCCGCACATGTAAAAATGGGGGCTTGGCAATAAATACATTTTTAATATATAATATGATCTTAATTTTTAGAAAATATATAATCTTTAAGGTTGGAGATCATGAAGAAATAAATAAATTCTAGAAACTAGAAATAATAATTGCATTAAAACAATATTTGGACAGTTAGTTATAATTGTTTTTAGATGGACCACATATTTGCATCCATCTTTCAAATGGATGCCTTATACCTATAAACCGCATATTGTACAAATGCGGTCCGGCCCGCATAAAACAATTGTTCCTATTTTAATGGCCGTATAAATATTTGTCTATTTCTTATATTGTGTTGGTCTGGCCGTAGATCCATCGAGGTTCAGGTTCACCCACCAGACATCCTTTGTTAGGCGGCACGCTACTGTCTCCAGTGGAAAACCGGGTCTCAAATGGATCGTAAGCCCTATTTCATTTCGCTTCGCTTTACCAATTTGAACACAAGTCTTTCGGTTTTCATAGAAAACTACAAAAGATTTTATTTGATAGAGTACAAATTCCCAAGCATTAACATGTCTCTCCAATCCAAATTATAGTTTTAGGAAAATCTAAATTAAAATCATCCGCTATCTCATTTGGAGTGTTGTTTTTTAAATAACAGTCAAGGAGTGTTTTTTTAAAAAAAAAATATTAGTTCAAGGAAAAAGTTTATATAAGGTTGCAATCTTAAATTGTAGAATGAAAGATGCACCTCAAATATCCATCGGAAAATGGTGTTTTAATGTTGAAAAACCCTCTAATTGATCATCTCGACATCGAGATTTATGAATATGAAAAAAACAAAGATTTTGAGTCCCATAAATAGTACATCTTGCAACACATTATCTAGACCGTCTATTTTCAAGATTTTCATATATTTATAGATCTACTTCATTTTAATCACTTTTAGAATTTAAAATTTTATAACTAGATATAAAAATAGATTTTCAAATAATCCTAAAAATGATTTATATCAAAATTACATTCTATAATAAAATTTGGAGGTGCACTTTAATTGGATGATTTAAGGTTGCAACCTTACGGAAACCAAACCAATAGTTAAATGAGGTATCTCCTCAAAGAGTACATCAAAAAGTTATCAAATTGTCTTAGGAGATTGAGAAGTAGGGTTATTTTGGTAATTTGGCAGTACATTAATTGCCTGATCGACAACAATAATATAGCTTATTGTTTGTGGTTATTAGCACGAAACAAGGTTTATAATAAAAAATGTTGAGCCACATGTTGTTAACCAAGTGTATCGATATTAGTAGATAATTCAACAAAGGGTATCACTTTCATCATCTGGCTCAGGACACTTGAGTTACTGAAATGCAACTTGCTTGTTCGGAATTCTCAATCTTAAGTTGGTCATTTTTACTAGGTGGTAGCTTATTAAATTAAAGAAAGATTTTGTAGGGAGCCCAAGGGGGAACAAGAGAAAATCGTCATTTGGTATTATTAATATTGTTAATAGCATATTCAAGTAAAAGAAGTGAGAAACCATGGGAGATGAGGGACTACAATTGGCAAATGGCGCCTCGGTGGCCCTGAAACACTAGGGCTAGGGCCAAAGAATGTGTCCCGAGGGCTAGGCTAGGGCAGAGCCACATCAATTCGAGGATAGGGCGGCAACATGCTGGCCCGGTGCAGTCTGTTCCGGTGCTTCTTTTTCCTTATCTTTTTCTTTTGTATACTTTTATTGTATTTGGCCCGCCCCTTACTAGACTAGGGTTGGGCCTGAGTCAAGGCCTATTCGGCCTGGTTCAGACCAAGCTTTAGCTGCCCTATATGGACTAGGGTCTAGACAGGCCCAACCTGACGAATTGCCACCCCTAGTACAATGCTACTTTAGCTTAAAATTAATGCAATTTGAAAGTAGAATATTTCAAGGGGCTACCATGAAATTAAAACGGAAATCAGATATTTCTATGAAATTCACGTTAAAATAAAAGTTAAAAAGTAATTGATCTAGTGTTAAATGGGATGATTTGACCATCTTACTTCTTTTCCATGGCTACAAAAATAGGCCACTCTAATTTTAGGGAATATTTTTTAGCCAATTCCCACGGAGACATTTTTCTCATTGAATATGCAGGTTTGCTTTTTCCGGCAATTTTTCCAATCAGTCACAAAAGTCGACTACTTAACTCTTCGTCATGGGTTTATCAAAGTAAGCATCCAATTCATAGCCGTTGCGCCATTTTTTTTTTCTTTATTTTTTTTTTAACCTTGTCAAGCTTTATAAGGGGCTTGAGTAATTACCCCTTTCTAGTAATAATAATTACTTTTGCAGGCCCATCTTGCTCCTAATAGCAAATTCAATTTCCACAAGTATTTGAAAAGATCACTCGAGGACGATTTCAAAGTGGTCGTTGGCATCAGGTTCCCCCTCTCTCTCTCTCTCT